AACGTTTATCATCATATCGAAATAGGTCAACATCAGTCATGCGATCGTGCAAAAAACTAGTCGATCTCAGTCAGCTGCTTCAAGTCAATCACCCACAACTCACCTCCCACAATGCTCCACATGTTCGAGCAGGTTGGAAATATACAACAGCAACAACGGCAAGAAAAGTAGCTGGCCCAATGGCAGACATTATGGGTATACTCAATTCAATTAGGAACGCCAACCAATATGCAACTGCCGCTCTGAGAACTTTTTTAGCCATAGGCCAGGTTAATTTGGATCGGACATATCTAGCGTATGCAAATAACTTTGTAAAGATGAAGGATGATGGTGCGTCACATGAGGCGGTAGAGGCATTAGCATCATTAGCGGCATCAGCGGCATCAGCAGCATCAGCAGCATGAGCAGCATTAACGTTATCATCAGCATCATCAGCATCAGCAGCATTAGTAACACTGGTCACCGTAGCAACATTTACTGCTGTCGCCATTGTAGTTGCAGTAGAGGTAGCAGAACGTAATCTATCTACAAATCTTCGCCACACAAGTGTAATATTACCACCCCATACTCTACCCCATATCCCTCTTCTCTCCTTTTCCCCATTATAACCATCATGCAAAGGCATGGTTGACGATATTGTGTTATTAGTGTTTGTGTTAGAAAACGGCAAAACATAGTTTTCAATGTCATCGTTTGATGATACGCGCATAACAGACAGTCGTCGATTGGCAATCGTGTGAATTGGAGCTGTGGTAGAGCAACCGTCAACAGCGCATGTGTCAGCAAAACGAGAGTCAACAGTACAAGTGTCGGTTATTGGATCCTGTGGTGAAGGAAACGCTAGTGTAGTTGGGATTGCGATGTGTAGGTCGACCTTTGGCTTTGCCATATTTTCCAATGTGGAATTGTCAACGGGGGCTTTATTATGTTGTTATTTATTGTTATGATCAAGCAAATACAGTCCTTGTTGGGGAGGAGAGGGTGTGTAGTGATTTTTCTTTTTTCCTGGAGGAAAAAGGGTGATGGGAATATATATAAGTAAAGTGTATTTATTATTATATAATGTAAAGAATTGTAATATAAATTATTTTAACCAATTTTTTATTCGTGATGATTATTTATATTGCTTAATATTGATTCGCTTAAATGTTTATCCAAACAACTAACGTGGCAACTCTAAGCAGCAGTCTATTCTCTACAAGTAAAAGAAGGGATAAGGAACGATTGTTTATGAATGAATGGATGAATGAAACGATGAGGCACAAAAGTCTTGCAACGGAAGTGATTTAGCTTCTACAAATATATACAATATATATATATATTATATTTTTTTATATGATTGTATTCTAAAGATTACCATCTACGGAGATTATGACTCATAACTTGGATGTTTCGACAATATTTACCATTGGTGTTAATAAAAAGATGAGAGATAGATAAAAAGGTAATTTGACAGTACATGTGCCGACTTTACTTGCTCGTGAAATATATGCACATATATTAATATATTTACAATACTGACTCATAAGTTTTACGTACAATAAGCAATTCGTCCGATCGGCCTTCATCGAACGGTGATACATGTTTCTTGAAGCGCACTTGAAATATTATACACAACGTATATCTTTAATGATAAGCGGGCAAAAGCGTAATAAATTTCGGTTCATTTCCTATTGACTCCCATTGTTGTGCCAGCGACTTTTTTTTTTTGGACATTCGTGTGCCGTTTTGCAGCATAAGGGGGTAAGTAAATTTGGGGTGGGGGAGATGCAAATCGTGAAAATTTAGTACAATATATTAACAATAAAACATCAAAAATCAACAATGACCACAAAAAGTTGAGACAAACAAACACTCTTGAAATGCGCCATCATCTCATATGAAATACTGTAAGGAAGGCGTAGTTGTAGTTAATGACACCACTTATAGGCGTAGTCGTCTCACAGATCGTATCGATAGTAACATACTCAATCAAAAGGTTGCATCTGCGCAGTTGTGCGCCGCATGCAAGGAGAAATGAACGCAACCGCCCAGGGAGTGAACGGCAACTTTAATAAAACATCTGAAGTGATGGATAAATAGTGAACTACAATACATATACTGTTTGTCAGCCAACAACTTGTTATGTCAGATAGCCCCTTCGATGCATGGCAAAATATATACGTAATAAATAGGCAAGATGTATATAATTCATTTATCAAAACAGTTAGCATTCGTAATAAAAATATTAAACGAATTCTCCTTCTTGCTTCACTGCTTCTTCTCAGCCCGTTATCGGATCGATTATGCGTCTTGGAACATCACGGAACTGATTTCTTGTGCCATAAAATAAACAGCCCGGGAATGAGTATATTCTTTTTATTATAGCTATCATAAGATGTATATCTTTATTGTACCCACTTTCTTCATTTGATTGATGATTATTTACATCAAAATTTTGTATTTTCCCAAAATCCGTTAAAAATGTGGAACATATATTCTGGTTTGGGGGGTGACTTAATCATAACGTAATAATGAACTGATACAGTCACAAAAATCAAAATTGTTTCTATGCATGCGTGTGGTGTTCCGTATTTCTTAAACTTTGTCACAGTCTATGGTAGAGTTTTTAGCTCGGGGTTTAGCCACAAAATGTTATTTATCCTGATTGTTGCTGTTGGATATGCTAAGAAATGTCTTAACAATGATGGTGGGCTGCTTATTGTAAATGGACCCTTACGCGTGAAGCATACAATATTGTCTATCAACGTTATCATTTGTGATTTCTTATCTTTGATCGGCAAGTGTTTATTGTAAACAGAAGCTTTCTGCTAGGCTTGATTCATTCTATTGTTTTCTGATTGACAGTTACTTAACTTACTCGGGTTAGACTCGTGAGATTAGGCGTTACGTTGGGCAATTTGTGGTCATTTATAGATGTTTGTATTGTTCATGCAATTGTCGATCAACAGTCAAACTAAGAATACTGACCGTATAAAAAGATTTGCACACACCAAAGGTCAAGCTGTCTTTTCCTTTTTTACAACGTACTGCCATTCATATACAGACACGTTTTCATGAACGACAAAGATCAAACTTTAAAGCAATATCTAATTAGTGTTGGCGTAAAGAAACCAGAGATTGCATGTGTTGTTAACAATTGACAAAAGTATGAATAGCCAAATAAGGCCAACTTTACAGCATTGAGTACGCTCTCACAGATCCCCGCAGCTTCCTAAACCGCATTAGTCGCTAGATATAAACTGATTTTGGGGACTATCCGGCTATCTGTCCATCATACTATTAGCTATGTCCCAATTAAATTATTTCCGTATTGCACCTGACTGATATAACGATAATCGCTCCATCATTTCTCGAAATACAAAAAGGATAGCGCCAATCGATTAGGCGATTTAATTGTCAAATTCGTCA